ACGGGCGGGCGCGGTAGGATGTGTGCCCTGAGGTGCGACGCGATGCGATTTAGGAGGAGTTCAATTTCAAGGAAGTGGAGTGGAGTGGGTTCAGGGTTGGACGGTGTGTGTGTGTGTGTTTTAATGACCTTCTGAGCCGCTATAAGGGCAATACCGATAATGGTGGTACACGGGAATAACTTCATACAGAAGCGAGCTCCCTAGTCTCCAGCGACGTGTTAGAAAGTAAATTTCCTCTGAAACCTGTAGACGTAGCTGCTTGAATTCATCACGTAGATGTTGACCAGGAGAACGACGTCAAAAGAGCCCAGAGTAGAAATTATAATAAGCGGAAGCGCTGTCGTGTGGCGAAGGGCGACGAGGTGGTGGTGGGCGGTTAGAAGCGACTACAGAAAAGTAGGAGACAACGAAGCCAACTAAAGTCCCAACTAGATAGAACCGACAGACCTACTTTTTCTACTTTCCTACGCTTCTCCCACAACCCCTACCTACCTACCTGCCTGCCCACGCACCCACTCACCCACTCTCCCACCCACCCACCCACCAGGCCTACACTGCGGCTCAGGCGGCTAGTGAGAAGTCCGCAGCGGTCCACAGCCACATCATGGAGCTCATGGGGCAGAAGGGGGAGCTGCAGGAGAAGATGAAGAGGCTCGAGGTTGGGGGGCCCGTGCTGGGGATGGAGGGGAGGAAGTGGCGGGGAGGGGTTTGTACGTTTGCCTCTACTTAATGTACGCGTGTGTTTGGGTGTCTATGTGCGTGCGTGTGGGTGTTTGGGTGTGGGAGAGGCAATGGAAAGTACCCTTGGGTGTTCAGGGGCTGAGTGAGTTAGCGCGAGGGCGGTCTATCTGGGCTTGCGGGATTGGGGGAGCCCTGGGGGAGGGCCCTGGGGGAGTTGAAAGTGGGAGTTGCAGCCAACAGCCAACAGGTCCAGTCCAGTCCATTCGGGACCCGTCGGGATTTGGGAGGGGAAATCCAGTACGGTGAGAGATCAAAGAATCCTTAAGTGCCGACATCTACACAAGGGGTTGGGAAGGGGGAGCTCTGGGGAGGGGGGATCCTGTGTTGATGTGGTGTGTGTGTGTGTGTGTGCCTTCCCCACCTCCTCCATTCCGTTCCCCCTCCCCGCCCTTCCCCAAAGAGCGAGGTTGCGGCGGCTGAGCGCATGGGTCCTGCTGACGTGGCTCGACTGGAGGGGGAGCTGAGCGAACTGACACACAGGTGCAGCGCTCTGGAGGCGGCGAGGAACGCAAAGATGGCCAAGGTGGGGGGCTGGGGGAGGCGTGGCAGTGGGGGTTTTGGGTGTTGGTGTGTGTGCTGGTGGTGTTAGGTGAATTGGTGGCAGTGGGTGTTGAAAAGAGAAAGGTGAGGGCCTTCTCTTTCTTCCTCATTCGAATTGCCATCCTCATCATCAATCTCATAATCTTACCTGCTCCCGCTGTCAGTTTTCCGCTGTCTCCCCTCCCCTCTTCCCCTCCCCTCTTCCCCTCCCCTCTTCCCCTCCCCTCTTCCCCTCCCAACCCCTTCCATCCTCAA